TTCCCTGTCACACACCTTACAGACCCTCCAGCACTCCCAAGCTCTGCAGGGCTATCTGCCTCCCTATAAACATTCCCTGTGGGATCTGCAGGGACCCAGTCAGCCTCAAGGAACTCACAGCGTCATCCTCTATCCACTACCAGAGCAATATTTATTGCCCTCTTTCTCAATCGTCCCCACACAGACATATTGCTTTATGCTCACACAGACTCCTGAAGCTCCTTTCTCTCTCCCCCCACTCACACAGATCCCTGTGCTCTCTTTGCATATGCATCCTCTCCCCAAAAACAAAACCCCTATATCCTCTCCTGTACACACACACACACCAGCCCTACACAACGCAGACAGAGAAAGGGAGGCAGCAGCCCCATCTCCTCGCCACTTCAAAGCTTAATTACCCCTACATCTACAGTTCTGTAGTCCCACCTCCTTGCCCATCTCCCACTAGCCCACAGCCTGACTTCTTCCATCCCCTCACCTCTCACTCAGTTGCCCAAAGACCAACTCCCCAGACACTCAACATGCAGAAGTACCTCACAGGACATCCACCTATGCCCTCAAATTATTGCTTCTATCCTCATAGCTCCCAATACTGCCCTACAGCATTACTCTCCATATCCCACAGCACTGTCCCACAGCCTCCAAACACAGAGTTGCCCTTCCTGTGACCCTAAAGTACTGCTACTAGCCCTGCGGATCCATCACTCTCCTACAGCTTCCCATCCCCCAACCCCCAGCACTGCCCTACAGCCTCCAACCCCACAGCCATCCTTTCTATGCCCCAAAGTACTGTTCCTAGCCCAGCAGTCCCCCAACACTGCCCTATAACCTCTCACCCCACAGCTGCCCTTCTAATGCCCCCAAAGCATTGCCCCTAAAACCTATAGTCCCAAACACTGTCTGAATGCTTTCCTCTCCATGACTCCTTGCAGCTGCCCCTCCTAAGCATTGCTAAGTACAGCCCCCAGTGCTGTCTTACAGCTTTCCTATTCACAACCCTCAGCACTGCCCCACATTTTCCAACCCCACAGTCAGCCCTTCTATGACCCAAAGTGTCACTTCTAGCCCACAGTCCCTAGCACTGCCCCCTACAGCCTTCCACTCTACAGCTGCCCTTTTAATACCTCCAAAGTATTACTCCTACTCCCATACACAAAAACTCTGGCCTACAGTCTTCCTCCTCACATCCCCAAGCACTGCCTCTTGGCCTCCAACTGCACATCTGCTTTTCCTATGCCCCCAAAGTATTGCTCATACTCCCACAGTCCCAATACTGCCCTAAAACCTTCCTCCTCACATCTCCCAGTGCTAGCTCTCAGCCTCCAACTGCATACCTGCCTTTGTGCCCCCATAAAATTTCTCACACCCTCTTACACCCAAACACCATCCTACAGCTTTCCTCCCCATGGCCCCTAGCACTGCCCCATACCATAGCTGCTCTTCTAAAGCATTGCTCCTTATCCCATAGCCCTCAACACTGCCCTACGGCTTTCCTACTCACAGCCCTCAGAACAGGCCCACAGCTTCCAGCTCCACAGCTGCCCTTACTGTGATCTCAAAGTACTGTTCCTATCTCTACAGCCCTCAGCACTGCCCTACAGCCTCCAAACTCACAACTGCCCATCCTGTGACCCCAAAGTTTTGCTCCTAATCCTGTGGCCCTCATTACTACCTAACAGTTTCCCATCCCATGGCCCCCATTACTACCTTATAGCCTCCAACCACACATACCCTCTACCTGTGCCCCCAAACAATTACCCCTAGCCCTACAGCTCCCAACACTCCTTATGCTCTGATTCTTATAGCCCCCAGCATTGTCCTATAGCATCCAAACTCACAGCTGCTCCTCCTATGCTCTTAAGCATTGCTCCTACTCTCACACCTCCCAAAACCACTGTACAGAATTCCCACAGCCCCCAGCACCACCCCTGAGCATCCAATCATTCCCCTCTACTCTGCTCTTGTAAGGCCCCACCCAGAGTACTGTGTCCAGTCTGGAGTCCCCAGTACATGAAAGACAGGGAGCTGTTGGAGAGGGTCCAGAGGAGAGCCACGAAGATGATCAGGGAATTGGAGCACCTCCCCTACAAAGACAGGCTGAGGGAGCTGGGCTTGTTCAGCCTGGAGAAAAGAAGGCTGCTGGGTGACCTCATTACAGCCTTTCAATACCTAAAGGGAGCCTACAAATAAGAAGAGAATCAACTCTTGGAAAGGGTAGATAACTGCAGGACAAGGGGAAATGGTTTGAGGTCGAGGGAGGGAAGATTTAGGTTGGATGTCAGGGGAAAGGAAGCTCTTTACAGAGAGAGTGAGGTGCTGGAACAGGCTGCCCAGAGTGGCTGTGCATGCCCTGTCCCTAGAAGGGCTCAAGGCCAGATTGGATGGGGCCCTGGGCATCCTGGTCCAGTATTAAATGTGGAGGTTGGTGGCCCTGGCTGTGGTGGGGGGTTGGAGATTCACGATCCTTGAGTTCTCTTCCAACCCTCGCCATTCTGTGATTCTGTAATCACACATCTGCCTCTCACATAAGCCTACTGTTACAGCCCCCCACATTGCTTTCCTTCCAACCGCCCTCAGCAGTGTCCCACAGCCTCTGAGCCAAGAGCTGCCCTTTCTACACCTCCAAAGAACTGCTTTAATTCCCACAGCTCCCAACACCCTACAGCCTCTAAACCCAGAGCTGCCTTTCCTGTGACCCCACAGCGCTGCTACTAGCCCTGTAGCCCCCATCATCGCCCTGCGGCCTCCCACCCCACATCCCAACGCCTGCAAAGTATCTCTCCTACACCCGCACGCTCTCACTCACAGAGCTCGCAGTAGCGGTGGCAGCCCCGGCCCAATCCCTGCAGGTACCGCTGCAGCACATCGGTGAGGAGATCGCAGGCCGAAACCTGAACCGAATCCCAGCCCAACGCCTGACAGATCTGCGCCACCGATACCCGCAGCAGCCACCGCGAGTACGTCTCGCACATGCCGGCTGGGCTCGGCTCCGCTTCGCCCGCGCCCGCCCTGGGTCGGGAGGGCCGCGGGAGGCTCACGCAGGGCCCGCCGCCGCCGCCGCCATCTTGGCGCCGCGCTTCGCCCCGCCCAGCGCCAGGCAACGGCGCTCCAACGCCGATCGCATCGAGCGGAGCCGCCGCGGGGACGGCGGGGCGGGGCGCTGAGCTGTCCTCAGAGCGGGCGGTTGTGGAGGGGGCTTCCTTGGGAGGTGCGCTGTAAGGCCGCCGTGTTCCTCCTCCTCGTTGCTCGCGTGCAGACTCGCTACACGGAGCACCATATGGCACAGCTGTCGCTAACGCTGCATCCCGTTAAATTTAGAGCAACTCCCCGCACTTACGTGCAAGCTGCAGCATTCCCGTGCTGTGAGGAACGCGGATCTGAGAGGAAGCCGATGGAGAGAATCCTTTGATAGCAAAGAGGCTTCTCAAGGACACGGGAAGGAGCTTGATTTAAGACACTTGAAAACAAAATTGATTTTAGACTGGTAGAGGACATTACTCCCTTGAAGAAAAAAAAAAAAAGTTGATCTATTAGATTAAATTCCTCCCCTTTCCAATTTCAGTACTTCCTCCAGTGCCAGAGCCTGCAGTAGGAAGTGAGCAAAACGCCCCAGGATGAGCTAAATAATTCAAGGTGAGTTTGGGGATCTTTTGAGGAGTAGGACCTTGCATGGGTACCTCTGTGCAGGCAAGGATATGAATAACTGCATGTAAGACTAAGATTGCCTTGGTAACCATGTTAAAAACACCATCTTTGGGAACAGAGAGCAAAATTGGAAGAAGTGTGGATATTTGGAGGATCCAGAAACAAAAATGATAGTTATTTAGTGGTGCAGCAGGCAGAGAGGAGCAACACGTCATGCACTAATGGGTGTATGTACGCCAGTCATGCAACTGCCATGCTGTAATTCAGTCATTGTGTGTAACTGGAAAGAGGACAGAACTAAGTAAGAGTGGTGTTTTATTAGAAGTTGGTTAGTTGACTAGTTAGCTTCTTGATTTACTAGGTGATTAGTAGAGTGCTGATTAGTCAATCAACAGTCCAGTCTTTTGGATCAGTCCCATCCAAAGCCTGCTGCAGAGCAGGGAGCTGGACCCATAGCAACATCCTGCAATTCGTGTGCTCTTTACTCACTCTTTTCACTACATTGACAAGCTCTAAGGAATGCTGGCCTCCAAATCTTAGAAACATTTGAGTATTCTAAAAACCTGCAAATACACAGGCCCTTTTTGTAACTGTATTAAGTATCATTAACAGAATTAAGGTTCAAGAACTTGGAAATAACTTCCCTGTAGGCATGCTATTCCTTAGATTCCCCAAAGAAGTATTTAATGTATCATTAGTGCAGAAACTTTGATGTGAGCAATTGCTGTATCTGCCACAGCAACTCCAAAGTCAGAGAACATTAGGGCCAAAGCATCTGAATTTCTGTAAAATCAAATGCTTGATTTAAGTGTTCTAAATAAAATTGTGCTTAAGGAATTTCAGGCTCATGGCTGCGAATGAGGAATTGCACTGATTCAGCAGCACTTGATGCTTATGTTTCCAGGCTAGCTGACTTAGGCATACAACTCAAATCAAGAGCAGCTTGAGTAAGCAGGGGGCTGCTTATACCTGTCTCGGGGGTCAAACTCACAGATGGCTTTGATGTTTATTGCCATATCCATTTTCTTTCCATTTCTGTCTTGTTCATTTTGGAATGCAAACTTCTAGAAACAGTCGTAGTGTTGTGTTCAAGTAAGGTAGATAAGCGTTCCGACTGCATGATTGAGAAAGATTATTCTCCATTCTCCTCTTCAGCACACAGGACAACATATGCAACAAACCATCACTTTTAAACAGTGATAACACAATGAAGACAGAATATCTTTCACTCTTCAGAAGAAGCTCCTGCTGGCATGCTTTCTGTGCGAGGAATTATACAATTCAGAGCACAGCCTTAAAAACAACCTACATTTCAAAGAGTAACCAAGTCAAACCCAGATGTATCGACAAACCAATAACGTGTTTCGTGAAGGAGTTTATTGTAAGAATGTACAGATATTTCTGGGGCTTTGCCACTTGTTCACAAAATAGCAGAGCAGTCTTATTAACGAACACAGGCAAGTTCAATCATACGCTCAGAATTATTCTTCACCTGTAAGGAAAATTGAAGCAAATTAAAATCTTTCAATCAATGCTTCTTTTTAAAATGCATCACCTCTGATTTTAAGTGCTTTAACAATTCAGTCTTCCCTACTCCCTCCTCCCCTCCAACTCTCTCTCAAGACTACTTTTATCTGAAACTTTAAATGCTTATTTTGTTACAAACTTCTTTTCAGGTGTAGTGTTTTACAAATAGACATTTTTAAGGTCACAGCCCAATGCCAGGGCACTACGAAAAAATGAAGCAAAACTTTCAAATGAATCCAGTAACTCAGAGAATAAAAAACCCACAGAAAACTGTCAAATGCAGATGCACTCTATCACGGACATATTTTGTTTAAGATTTACTGGTGCTTGAATCTGTCCAAACAGAAAGCAATGGCCATTTCCTAAATGTGGGAAGAAGAAATTGTGACTGACCACTATTGCTGAATTCCGACTTCCTCATCTGATTTCAAGACTGCACTTAATAATGGATGCATACAGACAATCTAGTTTCTATTCCATAGCTTTACCTCTTGGATTTGGCCAAACCTCTTTTGCTGATTAGTCCCTGGTTAAGATGTTATGAGGAAAAAAAAACAAAACAAGCAGGTTAAGAAGTAACTCATGCAAATTAAGGCAAAACTATGCACGTATTTGTAACTGCATTGTGAGGAGCATAATACAGCTCATAACTGCAACATGTTATGTATTCCAGACATTTCGTAAATGTACAGAATAGTATCACACATATTTACATCTTTGAGTACAGCACATTTTTAACTGTTAGATGGAATGCACATTATCTACATGAGGTTACAAACTGTGGTCTAAGCCCACACATTTTGTAACCTACAGAACACACAGTTGCAAAACTTCATTCTCAGGAAACGAAGCAATATACTCAGCTTCAACATTTATCATACATATTTCCAGAATCCATTGATGCCAGCTATATTTCTCCTTTCAACCCCAAACTCCTGCACATGATCACAGACTGATTTCTGCAAAGGCATTTCAGTCACCAGAATTGCTCTCTCCGCATCCAAAACTGTTCTACAGCAATGAACTGGGCTGTTTGAGCAGAGTATGAAGAACCCAGGTAAAAGGAGCAGATGGGATATCTACCCAAAACAAATAAGGAGAAAACACTCTCCCTGCTCAGTCAAGGGCATGTGTCAAAGCTGAGGATATAATCAACCAGTTTTTAAAGAATATCTGGTCAAACTTCACACTTGTTAGTAAACTGCCACAAACTAAAAAAGAATAGGAGACATGCCATGGATTGTCCTGCTCCATGCCTTAACATTCCCCATTAACCTGCCTGAAGGAGGGCACAAGCATTACACGACATTGCAACCACTCCTGTTTCATGTGTATACAGGTACTCACAGAGCAGCAGCACCAGAGATGATCTCAATAAGCTCCTTAGTAATAACAGCTTGACGGGTTCGGTTGAATGTCAAAGTCAGTTTGTCGATCATCTCAGCTAGGGAAAAATTAAGCATATAATGAGCATTCAAATACAAGTAAAGGAAGTTCTATGAAGAGAACACCACACAGACTTGGGGATCCATGTGAATGATCAAGCAGCTTACTGCACTTTGCAGTTTTCCCTACAGATAATACTACTGACAATCTAAGAAGAAGATAATTTAGCTTGAGGCATCAGAATTAAGCATCTGAAAAACAGCCAGACTAGTAAATACCATGGGTAGAACGTTATTCATTTTTAAATTCCAATAATGTTTCTTGCACTGTTAATTTTCCTCAATAACCACAGTATTTCCTTCAAGTTCTGTTCTGGCAAATGGAGCCATTTTTCACTTAATATTTTTTTAATGGAGACTTTATCACTACATTCAAGATACAGGGATCAGCAGAGACCCACACTTACAGTTCCAGGTAACCCTACTGCATAGCACATAAGCTTCATTCAGCCACCAGCATTTTTTATGCATCACTATCTTCTTGAAACTGAAGTCGTATCACTATGCCATGTTAAACACTATTAGCCCACCAATACCAACCATGTATTCACTGCAGTGCACTCAGTTTGTACACTTTACAAGGTATACTAGCATATTCTCAGCTTGCAAGAAATCAAAATCTGCAGACCAACAACAAGAGAGACATCAGTAGTTGAAATCCTAGAAAATCCAGAGTAGACTTACAAGCATTTTTGCTTGCGTTGTCCATAGCAGTCATCCTAGCGCTCTGCTCACTGGTGGTAGATTCTTTCAGGGAGTAGTACAGAATATTTGCTAGTGTAAATTCCTGGTAGTTTCTCAGCACATCAGCATCAATGTCATCATAGATGCTCAGGCTTTCTGAAAAATATGAATGAGCAGAGTCAGAACTGCAGGCTGTACTAATTCTAACCATACAATGTCATATAGAAAACAGTAAGTTACTTTTTTTTTCCACTTAGTACATGGTGACAAATCCCTCCACGCTGCCTTAGGAGTACTATCATAAAATGCTAAATACCAGAGAGATAATGTATTTTGTGTGTTTTAATTAAGTTTAAAGACTAGGAAATTCAGATCCTGACCAGGGCCAAAGGCATTATTGATATATTATATTTAATGCTCCTGTACAATGCTGCACAAACCATCTGAGGTGCTTTTATTGAGAAGAAGCCACTCATTGCTGAAAACATCAGAAGCAACAATTTTGCACAGGCAAAATTCTTGACTGAGAGAAAAGCTCAAAATTAGTACAAGCTCTCCTTCCCCACATTCCCACGATGTGTCAGCTCTGGACTACATCTTTTAAACTTGTGATACATGCACAACAATGACAATATCATATTCCCAGATGCAGAATATCTTCCCTGTGATTTATTACTTCACCTATCTACTGTTTTCTAGTTCACTGCTTACCAGAACCAGCAACTGTTTCAAAAGAGTAGATAGGTTTTTCATCAGTCTTGTAGGAGATGACAGATCTGAATAAGAAATAGCATAATAGTGTTGGTTTGACTGAAGAACCTAAATTGAGCACTTAATAGCAAATTAGAACACCGACAACTTCTGGCCTTCCAATTCCTCCAAGTCTCGTTATGCTCCTCATGAAGAGATATCAAATACCCTAAGGATATAATAATGTACTGACTGTAAATACAACAGCACACACTACAGAAAGCGAGCTTAGAAACACCACAGAAAAAGAATTTCAACCATATCTATTAAAAATACCCACAGCAAACATGTTCTTCACATATAATAAGAAAATGCACTGACTTTTCAAGAAAATCTGAACACAGACTCAGTTTTCACATTTTACTTAATTCAACCAATATGCTGTTTTCAAATCTTCTATTCAACATCTCCCTAGTGCAGCTTCAGTGTACTCTTACCTGAACCGATTGTAGATGACAGAGCCTTCATCAAATTCATACCCAGAGTTTAACAACTCTGAAGCAATGATTGAAGCATCTCCAAAGCTAGGAGGTCTCCGCCCCACTTCTTTGAATGTCATCAGGAGGTAATTGCCATGCGTCCTGCAGTAACGTGAAATTTGTGTCAGCAGCAAGTTGGTGCTCTAATGTACAACTATGTGGCACCAAGAGGCAAGCAGCAGCAGTAACTGCTAATGTTCAAGAACAAAGCATTTCGCTGAACTACAATCTTGGAGAAACTTTAACCTCAGTTAAATTATGATACACCAGAACTCCAGAATGACAAAAGGAGAGGTGGGTTTTTTTTTTTTTTTGTTTATTTGTTTTGTTTTGTTTTTGTTTTTTTGTTTTGTTTTGTTTTACCTTTGAAGTAGGCCTCTGATCTTGTCGCCTACACCAACCACCATCACTTCCTTCCCTGCACTGGAGAGGTTGGCAATCTCATTCTTCAAGGTTTTAGCAATAGATGTATGGATAGCACCACACAGACCTCGATCAGAGGACACACCGATAAGGAGGTGCTTCTTCTTGTCCTCGGGTGCCTTAATTTCTGCTTTCTCATACAGTGCTGAGGAAAAAAACAACAAAACAAGATGGGAAGATATTCAAGGGTGCCAGGAAGCAAATTTGTTCTATCAAGACATCTTTGACTAACTTCAAATTCAATAAATCATTTCCAAAGTGTTTCAAATCACAGCCAGATGAATTTTTATCCCCCTCACAATCATTCAAGTTTGCAGGCTAGCTGACCAGAAGTGATAAAGAAGTAATTCCAAGCCACCTGCATCTCTGCATCAGGTATTATAACGAACTTCAACTAAATAATGACACTGACTGCAAGTGCAGTGTTTGAGAAGCATGTGCAGTTCAAGCATTTCAAAGAAGGTTCGGCAGCATCTTTAAACATTACTACCTCACGCCACAGAAATCCAACAGTTTCATGAATAACAGAAAGAAACAGGTCAAAATTGATGTTGCTTTTATGTTTAAAACTACATCCATGCAACCACAGGAAGCTAAAGAAAAAATATCAGACACGGTAATTAATTTCACATCAGCACTCTTACAAGTAACTTTTCATCAACTACTTATTAGGAATATTCAAGGTTAACAGTGGCCCAGGGATACAAATTCTTATGAAAAAAATATGCTAAGAGGTTAGAAGTCAACACCATAAAAGCATCCCTCCTTTATTTCCACACCACACAGTGCAAGAGCCTTCGCTCACCCAGTGCTCCTGTTCCGTACACTCTAGCAGGCTTCAGCTCCCTCTCAGCTCTTGCATACTTTGCTGCAGAAACCATCTTCATGGACTTCGTAATTTTCTGGATGTTCTTGATGGACTTCAAACGCCTGGTAACTAACAAGGTTAAAAGCTGAAGGTCAAAATTGGGCTATATTGGGCACAAAAGGGAAAACAAGAATAAAACATAAGCAACAGCTATACAGAAATCTCTCCTGAAGTTCCTCAAGGAAGATATAAATAAGCAAGTGATGCACAGATGTAAGATATGCTGTTAGTACTAACACCAGCAAAACTGTACACGTGTATCTTTACAATAACCCAAATGCATCTTTACAATATATTTTTCTCACCATGAATTTTATTTAATATTTACCTCAACATAAGATCCATTTGCTATTCTCTTCCCTACTATTCTACTATTTTCTTCTACTTATTTCTCGAATATATAATTTGAGGTATATTGTCAGCTTTTCCTGGATGAAAAAGGAAGGAAAAGCAAAACATAACAAAACCAGTCCTAGTGATATAGACAAAATAAATGTTGTTCTCTGTTTAGGCTGTGTCCCGAAAATACTAATGCAAAAAGGAAAAAAAAACAGGTGCCATAACAACAAACACAAGCACAAGACAGTATCCCTGCATTAGAACCCCTTAGTAATGACTTAAAGAAGCAACATCAAAGCAGAACCATTCAGTCAAACTTTTTATTCTCCAGTGCTGGGTAAATACAAGAAACTAAAAGCAATGTAAGTTCATTTTTAAATGAACAAAAAATCTGTTTCTGTTTCAGCACACTTGAAGTTAATTTTAAAACATTTGAACAGGGCTTGGTTTGCTTACACGGCATCAAAGAATCAAACAACTTGAAGAAATGCTTTTTATCAATCAGAGAACCACAGAATGGCCAGGGTTGGAAGGGACCTCAAGGATCATGAAGCTCCAATCCCCATGCCAGAGGCAGGGCAACCAGTCTCCACATTTAATACCAGACCAGGCTGCCCAAGGCCCCATCCAACCTAGCCTTGAACACCTCCAGGGACAGGGCATCCACAGCCTCTCTGGGCAGCCTGTTCCAGCACCTCACCACTCTCATAGTAAAGAATTTGCTCCAAAGGGGAGAATTTTATGAAGGACACTTGTTTCATACAAGTGCCAGAGGCTCATATGGCAGCGTTACACTCCACAACAATCACTTCATTCAACAGAAGCCAAGCGAAATCATGCTTAAACCTAACGCTTCCATACATTTCCCTTCTGTAAAAAGCAGACAAAAGCACACTTACTGTCTTTCAGAGTTGCCATGTTCCTGACTTGGCCCCTGGAAGTGAAAGCAGGAGAAATTAGGAGAGATCATCAGCTCTCCAGCAGACAAACACCAGTCAAGGTCAGATCTCTTCAGAGAGATGAACACATAGGAACACCCATTTCTTAGTAAGGACACTTCACACCAGGCCTTGTAACAAAGCTTTCACACTCCCCCTTGTGCCCGTGTGACTGACAAATACAGGGAAAACAAAGCAGGGCATCAGAAGGGCAAGATCCCTAGAAGAACACAGTTGTTTTTTTTTCTTTTCTTTTTAGACGATTAAAACAAGGAAGCAGCGGGGCTCCCAGCAGGACGTCCTTGCAGCGCCAGCCACCCGCACGGCTCTCCGCTCCCTCACCCGCTCAGCCCCGAACGCCACACAGCGCCCTTCCCCTCAGCGCCCATCGCCACCTCCAACCATCCTGACCGCTCAGCCTCGGGCCCGCAAAGCGGAAAAGGACGGAGAGCCCTCCACCTCTCCGCCTCCCCCCGCTCCTCCACGAACGGAGGCCCCCAACCCCTCGCAGACACGACCCGGCACAGCCCCAGCCCGCTCGGGGCTCCGTCCGTTACCATTGCGGCTGGTACAGCAGGACGGCGGAGCCCCGCGCGAACATGGCGGCGCCTACAGCACAGCTCCGCTGAAGGTCAGCGCGCCCGCCCCGCGCATGCGCGCAGCGCCGCGGGGATTGCTTCCGAGGGCGCTCCGCCGCATCCGGGAACGAGAAAGTAAGGGGTGAAGGGAGGTGGGAGAGAGAGCCATGGGGAAGTCGGATTTCCTCAGCCCGAAGGCTATCGCTAACCGCATCAAATCCAAAGGGTTGCAGAAGCTGCGCTGGTACTGCCAGATGTGCCAGAAGCAGTGCCGCGATGAGGTGAGGCTGGCGGGGCGCGGAGCGGCGCGGTGTTTGGTGCGCGGTCCCCGGCGTTGGGGTCCTCCGTAATGACAGAATGGCCAGGGCTGAAAGAGACCTCAAGGATCGTGAATCTCCAACCCCCCGCCACAGCCAGGGCCACCAACCTCCACATTTAATACTGGACCAGGCTGTCCAGGGCCCCATCCAATCTGGCCTTGAGCTCTTCTAGGGACAGGGCATGCACAGCCTCTCTGGGCAGCCTGTTCCAGCACCTCACTCTCTCTGTAAAGAGCTTCCTTTCCTCTGACATCCTACCTAAATCTTCCCTCCCTCGACCTCAAACCATTTCCCCTTGTCCTGCAGTTATCTACCCTTTCCAAGAGTTGGTTCCCTTCCTGTTTGTAGGCTCCCTTTAGGTACGAAGGGCTGCAGTGAGGTCACCCAGCAGCCTTCTTTCCTCCAGGCTGAACAAGCCCAGCTCCCTCAGCCTGTCTTTGTAGGGGAGGTAATGTGTGCCAAGCATACTGTGTGGGGTGGGTATGAGCCAAGTGCAGCACCCGGCTCTTGGTCTTGTTAACACTCATCCTATTGGTCTCAGCTCATCCATCCAGCCTGTCCAGATCCCTCTGTAAGGCCTCTGACTTCAAGGATGCATCCAGATCTCACATTCTGGGGGTCTGGGACCAGCGATTTGCTTTCAGGCAGCATTGGAGAAGACTCTCATGCTTCCTTGGGGTATTCCTGGTCCCTCATGTATGATGGGAAGAGCTGAGTGGGACCTGAGGGCTTCCAAAACCACCTGGTGCGTGGCGGGGGGGCTGAAACTAGATGATTTTTGAGGTCCTTTTCAACCCAGACCGTTCTATGATTCTATATATTTTGCTGGAATCCCACTCCTGTGGGAGAAGTGTTTTGGAGAAAGTATGATGGTCCTGAGCTTTCTCCAGGGATGTTCAACCCATGACGATGACTGATCAGCCTTGAAAGGGCAGCAGGGTTAGGAATTATTCCATCAGGAGTTTGGGGCAGTTGTGATTTCTCCTGGGAACAAGGTGGGTTCTGGGGCATGCCCTAGGGCTTGCATGTCTGGAGCACAGCAAGGTCTCTTTTCCGTCCTTCTGATTCTGTTTCTTCCCAGCTTCTCCTGTTAAGAGATGGTTTTCTGTGATGCTTCCCCTTGTTTTCACTTCTCTGTTCACTTGAACCCAGATGCCCATGGAATTATGAGGGTCCTATTCCTTCTTATTTTCACCAGAGCTGTGCTCCAAGAGTACCACCACCTGGGATAACTGTGCTTCTGGTTTTTCATTCTACGTAAATAAAGCTTTTAATGTGCTTTTAGAAGAGAAATGTGACTTCCAAGGGATCTTATTTGTGTTCTTCATCTGCTGCCCTTTTCCTTTCTCCCAAAGAGATTAAATCTTTTCTCAGAGATTACAGCAACAAAGCATCATACCTTTACAGCCACATCTTTTCGTAGCGGTGTGGGGATCCCATGGAAAGAAGTTTGCTGTAAATTTAATTATGTTATGATGAGAGAGTATTATATTAGGTTAAAAAAAAGAAAAAAAAAGGATATGGCCAAACCTCCAACATCTGAGTACATTTTGCGAAGCTGTTATGACTTTGTCCCTGTATCAGAGGTGGCCAAGCTTTTGTAATCCATAGCTTGGCCACTCCTAGGATGCCATCCTCTCATTACGTATGATGTCAGTATTGGCCAGATAGGGAATCAGCAAGAATTTCCACTTCTTTTGCATGTGTACCTGGATAGATGGTCCTGCATGGAGCAGGTGGTGCCACATCTACCCCATTCCACAAGGGAGCAAGAGGACTTCTGTTATGTCCTAGTCAGGAGGAATAGCCAACCTGTGCTGCTAGACTGTGGTTGGGTTAGAGTGTTTTTTGTGAAGCCTCCAAGAGATTTCACTTAGAAAACATCATTTTAAGTTACTTCTAAAGCTGTATGTTGCAAAGTGAGACAAAGGCAGATAAAATATTTATCTTTATTTTCTAGAATGGCTTCAAATGTCATTGCATGTCTGAATCTCACCAAAGGCAATTACTTCTGGCTTCTGAAAATCCTCAGCAATTCTTGAACTACTTTTCTGAGTAAGTTTGCTATATATTCTTATCCATGTGTCAGATCTACATGGCTGTACCTCTAAAGCCCTGTTATGTCCCATTGAAGATACTTTATTCTGATGAATTTTAGTGTCAGCTGTTTTATATAGTGGCTATGTGAAAAGTTTGCTTTTGAAAGCATGTAGGTTTAAGGGAGCCGTGATGTTTAAAATTTGACAGTTTTACCTCATTTAACTTTTTTTTAACCCCAAATGTGGCAATTTTTACCTCAAATTCTTCTTTTTATCCCAAATTTGATGATTTTATTCCATGTCTGAGTCCTGTTTTAATTTGCTCTTCAGTATGAAGTATGTCACTGCTGTGTCTCAGCTGAGTGACTGTCAGAGCTGCAGAATTACAAACAGCTAAAGAACCATCACATGGAGATAAGAAGTCAGCAGTATGAGTAGAGTCCCACTGTTCCCCTGATCCCTTTGTCCACCTGACCTACCTGACAGCAGGGCTGACTGGAACTGTCTTCAGTGTGAGTCTGAAGGGAGGCTTTATCTTTAAGCCATTGAATTAGCAGGGAGATGATTGATCCATCTACCCAGTCTACCACTGCTTCCCTTTGTTCTGCCTCGTGTTTTGTGTCAGTGTTTGTCAACCTTGGGAGATACCTGGTAATGAAATACCAGCAATTAGTGGGAAGTGTTTAGAGTTCATTCTTCCCATTTTATCCCTTTGAAAGGGTATTATCCTTTGGAAGATTAAACTTGTATGTGCATGTACCATACTGTGTTTCTTTGTGTGTACAGACTGCACTTCACGCTGTATTACTGAAGATGGGAAACAGGTGTCTGAGTTTCACCGTGCTCTGTTCAAAGAATACTCCTGTTTATGCTGCAGATATTTCATTATTATTGACAGTAGAACATTTCTTTGTAATTGTATAAGTTTTGTTAAGATACTTTTCTTTATATCCCCTAAGGGAATTCCGAAATGATTTCCTAGAGCTGCTCAGGAGACGATTTGGTAAATATTTTACTGTTTTTCTTTTTTTTTTTGCTTTTAATGCCTTTTGGTTCTGTGCAAGAAGTTTTGGTAGGTTTCTCCTGGGTCCCTTACTTACATTTAATGATAACTCTGTTTTAGGAACAAAGAGAGTCCACAATAATATCGTGTACAATGAATATATCAGTCACCGAGAACACATCCACATGAATGCAACACAGTGGGAGACACTGACTGATTTTACAAAATGGTTGGGGAGAGAAGGTAAATACTGTTGTTCTGGGTTATGGCATTTTAAAACTATTAGGTAATTGCATTGCTGATGAGTAATCAGTAAGCATTTATGTTAATTCTCCTGTTTCCTTTTTTCCCTTACCCTTCCCTCCTGCATATATGTTAACACATGTCCAAATAGATTTCTAAGGAAATCCCATTTCTAAGCAATGGGATTTCCTTATGAAAAGTGGCAGAGGTCTGGGATAAATGCATCGCTTACAAACCTTTCCTTGTTTTACCTGTAGTTACTGCATCTGTTGTTGAATTCTAAGTCAACTTCCAACAGTTGTCATTTAAAAAGTATAAACTATGGTAGGACATTTCTTACAACTGCAGAATCCCTTAGTATTTGTGGTGACAAGAAGTAGTATTTTGTTTTGATTTCTGTCCTAATGAAAGGGTTCAAATCTGAGATCTGCAGTTTTGTGTTCCATGGGAGGAGCAGGGGTTATGTCATACCACAGTGCTGTGTAAGGTTTAAATTGGTTGCAATTGCCTGTGTGCTACAGGATACATTAATGAGTCATAGAGTGTTTGAAAACTCACTCTAATGAGTGCCAGTAACAATAATGTAGCACAGTAAAGTTTTCTATAGTTTGATGCTATTACTATGCAGTGTTTATATATGTTAGAGTGTGTTTTCTTCCTTGTTGAAACAATGGGAAGGAAAAGGTTTCATCAGTAAGGAAAGTGATGCAGTACAGCAGGTCTGTGTGACCTGCTGTAGGGAACCTGCTTTGGCAGGGGGGTTGGACTCGATGATCTCTGGAGGTCCCTTCCAACCCCTACAATTCTGTGATTCTGTGATTCTGTGATACCAAACCTTCCATCCACTCTTGCTACATATTTCGGCGCATTTCCAAATACAACCAGCTAGCTGAGGGGTATAAATGGTTACTAAAGGTAATTTAAAGTCTATTTTAGAAGTCTGGTAAGAGATACATTGTAAAGGTACATCTGCTAAAGTTTTTAGGTTCTTGCAGTGAATGCGGCCTGGGAAAATGATCTATCTTGATGTTTTCTTTGTTATTTTCTTGTTTTTGTTAGTATTAATTTTATTTTGTCTTGTGTTGGGTCTTTAGGTCTTTGTAAGGTTGATGAGACTCCAAAAGGCTGGTATATCCAGTACATTGACAGGGACCCAGAGACCATTCGCAGGCAACAAGAACAAGAAAGAAAGAAGAAACAAGACCTTGATGATGAAGAAAAAACAGCGAAATTCATTGAACAGCAAGTTAGAAGAGGTTTGGAGGGGAAAGAACTGGTGAGGAAATTTATATATCAACCTTCAGCTCAAAAGTCCTCTCAATTAAGTTAATGCTCCTATGGTCTTTCCACTACTGTTTCCATTGCAGCCAGCTAGAAGGTGATGAGTAATCTTCATGCAGTGGGTTGCAAGCTGATTGCTAGTTCAAACTGGGGAACAGTGGGTATATGTGATGCATGGTT